CTTGCTTCTAACAGAGAGCAGTTCTTTCTCCCACCCTGGACATTCTACAGATATATACGAGGGTTATCCTGAAAGTATGGTTACAAGGCATATAGCTCTTGCAGGAAGTCAATCAGTGAGGGTATCTGCATAGAGGGAGCCTGGCTGTTGTGACTTGGGAGAATCCTCAGCTTGGGAGGTTTCCTGCTATACAGCAGTGATACCAACTTCTCCCGTGAAAAATGCCTTGTAACCTTCCTTTCTGGATAACCCTTGTATGTACACTCCACTTGCTTCACTGCCAACAGAACATCTGAGGATGCTTGCCACAGGTGCAGGTGAAACGTCAGGAGATGAATGCTGCTGTAACATGGCCATACAGCCTGAAAAACTAACAGCAACCCAGTGATTCTGGCCTACAAGGCCATATAAAAGCCTCTGGCAACAGAATGTGGCTTTTATATGGCAGTGTAGAAGGGGCTGAGGTCTCTCCTGTTCCTGTCGATGTGAGATAGCCTTTTGTTGTACTCCACATACAAACACATAGATATGTACAGACCCTTCTTCTGACAGATCCAGCTGACACTAGCCATTGATTCTTTATTCCAGGGCTGCCAGGAAAGTGGGATCAGAAGTCCGGGGGCCAGGCTCTTGGAGGAGCGGCTGACGGAATTGGGTCTGTCTAGCTTGGAGAACTGAAGGCTGGGAGAAACCATCCAGATGCCACAACTGTGAGAAGTGTGTTGCTCAAATGCCATGTCTTCCAAGACACCAGGAAGTCCTGCAAAGAGTTCATCGCTTATGGACCAGAAGAGACTTCACGCAGGAGAGAAACTGTACACATGCCCGGAGTGTGAGAAATGTTTTGCCCGAAATGCAGACCTTGTGAGACACCAAAGAATCCACACAGGGGATAAACTGTATAAATGCCAGGATTGTGAAGAATGTTTTGTTCACCATCAACAACTAGTAAGACACCAGTTATCCCATAGAGAAGACAAACCATACAAGTGCCAGGAGTGTGGGAAATGTTTTGCTCAGAATGTCTACCTTGTGACCCACCAGAGGGTCCACACAGGAGAGAAACCATTCAAATGCCAAGACTGCGGGAGGTGTTTTGCTCAGACGTCCTGCCTTTTGAGACACCAGAGACTCCACACAGGAGAGAAACCATACAGCTGCGATGAATGTGGGAAAAGTTTCGCTCACAGTTCGTCCCTTGTGTACCACAAGAGACTTCACACAGGAGAGAGGCCTTACACGTGCCAGGAGTGTGGGAAAACCTTTGCTCGGAACGCACACCTTGCGGGCCACAAGAGGATCCACACAGGAGAGAAACGGTTTAAATGCCAGGAGTGTGGGAAATGTTTTGTTCACCATCAGCAACTAGTAAGACACCAGTTATTCCACACAGAAGAGAAAACATACATCTGCAGTGAATGTGGAAAATGTTTTGCTCAGTATGAATACCTTGTGACCCACCAGAGACTCCACACAGGAGAGAAACCACACATCTGCAAGGAATGTGGAGAGTGTTTTGCTCACGGGTCATCTCTTGTGTACCACAAGAGACTTCACACAAGAGAAGAACCATACAAATGCGAGTAGAATGGAAAATATTTTGCTCAGAATGCATACCTTGTGACCCATCAGAGACTCCATGGAGATGCATAAAAATAATAGGAGTGTTTGAAATTCTCAGACTCACAAACGTGTCCATAGATATAGTGAGTTTTCTCTTGCACTGGTGAATAGTTCTTAGCAGTGATAAATTCTAGCTAATGTTTGTTAAGTTCTCCTTTGTTATATTATTATTATTATTATTATTATTATTATTATTATTATTATTAGAAACACAACAAGATGAGTCCACAATTAACAAGATCACTCTACCGGCTGTTGTATTGCCTCACACATCGGACACTTCCCAAGTGTCTAGGACTGTGTGATATATTGGCGAATAATACGTGCATATCCCAGTAAGGTGGCCTTCTGCAACTGGCAGATGGTAATTTTGTCAGCGCTGATTGTGTTTAAGTACAGGACAAGGTCTTAATGCACCACTGCACCCAATGTGCTGATCACCACTGGGACCACCTTGACTGGCTTGTGCCAGAGTCTTTGCAGTTCGATCTTTAAATCCTCATATCATGCCAGCTTTTCCAGTTCTTTCTCTTCAATCCTGCTGTCGCCTGGGATTGCAACATCGACAATCCACACTCTGTTTTTTAACACGATCCTGAGATCAGGAGTATTATGCTCCAAAACTCTGTCTGTCTGAATTCGGAAGTCCCAGAGTAGTTTGACATGTTCATTTTTTGTAACTTTTTCAGGCTTATGATCTCACCAGTTCTTTGTCACAGGCAGATAGTATTTGTGGCACAAGTTCTACTGAATCATCTTCTTGCAGCAGCTGAGGATGTGATCTATTGTTTCAACTGCTTCCTTGGAGAGTCTATTATTATTATTATTATTATTATTATTAGAAACACAACAAGATTAGTACACAGCAGACAAGATCACTCTGCTAGCTGTTGTATTGGATCACACGTCAGACTTTTCCCAAGTGTCTAGGACTGTGTGATGTATCAGCGGATAATGTGTGCAGATCTGAGTAGGGTAGCCTTTTGCAGCTGACAGAGAGTAGTTTTGTCTGCGCTGATTGTTTTCAAGTGCAGATCAAGGTCTTTAGGCACTGCATCCAGTGTGCTGATGTCCACTGGGACCACCATGGCTTGTGCCATGATGATGATGATGATTATTATTATTATTATTACAGTGTTCCCTCGCTACTTCGCGATTCGCTTTTCGCGCACTCGTTGTTTTGCGGTTTGTTAATAAATATTAATGTAAAATATTTATATTACATTATTTACGTGGTGGCAGATGTCGAGTAGCTCCGCCTGGCAGCCAACGGGCCTCAGAATGGGAGGCTGGTGTGCGGGTTTGGCCTGAGGCGTGGCGGGGAAGGCCTGCTGGTCACAAAGTGTGACCTACTGCACTATCGCTGCCCTGGAAGTGACTACGGAGGCATTTATTTGGTGAACTCTCAGCAGAGGCAATTAAGGAAGTGTGAGGGCTAGACTGTGCATGCACACTTCTTATATAATTCTTCTATTTATTTATCTGACACGATAAATAAATAGCCCAATGGAAGTGGAGCATTTTCTAAAAGTTGCTGCTCAATGAAAGTGTCTGAAGGATTTTGTTTGTAAGGTAAAGGAAAAGGTTTCTCCCTGAATCCTATAATAATGTATAAATATTAAAATAAATATAGCATCCCTACTTCGCAGATTTTCACTTTTCGCGGGTGGTCCTGAAACGTAACACATTGTATTTTGATATAATTTGAATTCATTACCTAGCTGTTGTTCTCCAGGGCAGAAGAAAGCAAGCTCACACCTGCTTCTCCATAAGATTATCCTGCCATCTCTTTCCCAGACAAAATATGTAAAGTTCTGCCCATTGTTCCTTGTCCAGCATAATTTTAGATCTTAGTTAACATATTTCAAGAAGTATGGGAACTTCAAATAAAAAAAATTATTAAAAGAATATAGTTATTACAGGACTTGTTCCAAAATATAAACGTTGTGTGTGTGTGT